AACCAACTCCATGCTTCCTCGTCACCTGGTGACAAGGGAGCATGGAGCTGGCTTCCGACTAATCAGGAAGCCGGGGGGTGGGTAATGAATTTCACAACCACTGTCACCAGGATTCCTGAGGTCGGGTCATGCCACAAAGGTCAAATGTACTTATTTTATGGATTAGTTCTAATTCACTGGCGGGCCCTTTGTGTCTCCAATTGCTGGTACTTTTTTATTTAGCCGGTAATAGCATGTCACATATTTGTCTTTCAAGGACCTCTGGCAGAGGATCTCTAAGAATTAAAGGAGTTGTAAAGTCCCAGCATACGCTGTCCTGTTATAACATCAGCATTGTAATAGGAATACATACTGGAGTTGGTTCTGATAATACAATCAAAGCTTACCTGAAAAAATCCCTTTTATGTAGTGAGCGCTGCCTTCTGTCTGCCCATCACTTCCAACAACTTCCTGGATTCCCAGTGTGCTTTGCATCTCATCCCTGCTGCTTTATGTGATACAATCTCCATTTCTCAAGACTACATACCCCACAATGCATTTCTTCCAGCAAACAATGATAATGTTACATTGTTCAGATGTTAAGTTATAGTTCAGAAGGCAGGGTTAGTTAGAGTGGTGACACAGGAAGTGCAAATGGTGTCAGTGCATTGAGGAAGTCCATCCTATGGGCATCTTCAATAAATAAGTTTACAATCTTTTAGATGGATCTGGTTATTAGGAGTGGGGATAGAACTTGTGGAAATTAATTAACGTTAGTTTTTGACCTTAGATACCCTTTAAAGTAGATCTGAACTCTAATTGAATGATAATTACTTTGCTAAAGCATTGTGAATCATAAATAATTATAATTTTAAAAAATACTTGTTTCCACCTTTCTTTTTATCCTCGGTTGCATCTCATTCCTGCTAATCCTCTGCAGCATTTTCCAGTCCACTCGCCCTCCAGCAATGGCTGCATTGCAGTTCCCAGCTCTCCTGATGTGGTGACCACAGTGGACCATGTCTGTTTAATGTGTGTTAAATGGGCCACTCATATTCTCCCTCAGAAGCTTGTTTGATGGGGTGACAATGCTGGAGCACAACTGGGATTCAGGGACACAGCGTTGTCACCCCAGAACAGGAAGTGCCTGAACAAGGACCTTCTTGGCAGGATCTCCAGGGATTAGTTTGAAAAATGCAGATTTAAAATGAAGTTCCATTAATGCGGTCAAGCTTGTATGAGATTTTAATGATTGGTTTTACATATGTAGCACTTTATTCTACCAAGTAGAGTCATTGGCAAAGTCTATCTAGTCTAGCCATCTAAAGGCTCTTCTTAATTGCAGGGAATCCATGAGTCATCGGGCCCCAGTGAAGGCTACCTGAAGCTGGAGGAACTGGTGAAGATGGTGGTGTCCCCGTACTTGGCGGCATTCGCGGACAGAAGCTACATCCACACCAACACTTCCTGTATACTCGGTAAGCTATTATCACGTACCTGACTGGAGACTCAGCTGATAAGGGGGCTGCCTGAGCACCTCATGTCCCGCACCTCATGTCCCACACCTCTGGAAGTAGTGACAGGGGATGTAAGGACGGAGCGGAGCACAGGTGCCGATACTGGTGGCTGGCCGGTTCTTGAGGAGGCGCTTGAGTGCATTGGGACCAGCTGGTGAATTGGCAGGACTGAGATGACACCGGGACCTCTTGAAACCAGAGCAGGCAACGGGTATGTTGATGGAGCGTTCCACCAAGTGGCAGACAAGGAAGGAAGCCAGGTTCAAGCCAGGTCATACACAGGGAGCCGAATCTAGAGGTGCCGAACCACAGATCAGGAGCAGGATCAGGAAACGTAAGCCAAGGTCATACACAGGAGATCAGAGAGCAGAGGTACCGAATCAGGAGGAGGAGGCGGAGTCAAATGGTCACAAGCCGGGTTCATATAAAGGACGTCAGGATACAAGAACAGAGAAGCTGAAGACCACTCAGCAACTTGGTCATGGCTTCATGTCTGTTTAAATAGGATAGTGTGCATGCTAATGAGCGCGCACCTGTAGACTAACGAGCGTGTTTCTGCGTGCTCACGTAGTGCGCTATTGCGCATAAACGTTCCCATACATGCGCGTTTACGTGCTAAAGTGCGTTTTCCAGGAACTTTGGGCAATGGATTGCGTACTTGTGTGCGTGCACGTTTTTGAGCAGGAGTCCATCTGCAGGTAAGTCTCTTACAGCTATGGTTGGCTTTAGTATCCATCCAACATTGGAACCTGAACTCGGAAAAGGAGACGTGGCATCTCATGGCCAACACTTCTGCTGTCCTTTTGCCGTGGTGTCAATAACAATGGTTAAAATGGCGCAGTGGATGCTGTATTAGACATATGGGTAAGGAGATAGCATGTTTATAAAGAATGAAGCAAGTTTATAAAGAATGAAGCAAGTAAGAAATTAGCATGCAGAATATAAACAATGAAGCAACTTTGCCAACCGCAGTGATAGTTCTCAGTGGAATCCCACTTGGCCAATGCCATTGATGGCAGCCAATGGGTATGTACGCCATACCCCATGTCAGCTGATCCCTGGCATACGCAGATAAAAGCTACAGCCATACCAGCTATTCCTGTATACTCGGTAAGCTATGGTTGTCCTTGGCATTCATCCAACATTGGTACCTCAACTGGGCAAATGAGACATGGCATCTCTTGGTCCGACACTTCTGCTTTCCTTTGCCCCAGTTTCAATAACAATGGTAAATATGGCACACTGATGTTATATTGGACATACTGTATGGGTAAGGAATTAGCATAATGAATATAAAGAATGAAGCATCTTCGCGAACCGCAGTGACATTTCTCAATGGAATCTCACTCGGTCAATGGCGGTAATGGCAGCCGATCTGGACGTGAGCCATACTCCATGTCAGCTGGTCCTCGGCATATGCAGACAGAAGTTACAACCACACCAGCACTTCCCGTATGCTCAGTAAGCTATGGTTGTTTTTGGCATCCATCCAACATTGGTACCTCAACTGGGCAAATGAGACATGGCATCTCTTGGTCCGACACTTCTGCTTTCCTGTGCCCCAGTGTTAATAACAATGGTAAAAATGGCGCAATGATGTTATATTGGACATATGGGTAAGGAGTTAGCATAATGAATATAAAGAATGAAGCAACTGCACAAACCACAGTGACATTTCTCAGTGGAATCCCATTAGCCAACGCCGATGATGGCTGCCGATCGGTATGCGCTCCCGTGTCAGCTGCTCTCAGGAGTGGGTGAGGTGTTCCTGAAGTGTTAACCCCGAGGATACTGGGAAGGCACAGTGCAAAAACCTGTTCTCCATAGTACAAAATGTCCCACCCGCCAGCCTCCTCCTCGGCAGACGGGAACCCTGCGCGCCTGTGACCTCAGTCCCATTTTGTTTTTTGTCACTAATTAATTGTGCAGCTGCTTTGAATCTAATGTGCTCGTTTGCTGCGGTCGTCAGCTGAATAGACGTCATGTCCAAAACTAGGCCGAGGGCCCTGGGCTAGATTTCATTCTTACGAGAGCTCGGGAGGAATCTCGCTGCTGTTTTTGCCAATAAACCGTTTATTCCGGGAATCATTTTGGAGATTTTCTTAAAGAAGAACTCAGGCAAATAAAATCTTAACCCTTGCGGTGGGGCTACCCCGATACTGCGAGGGTCAAGTGATTGTTTTGCCTAGGGAGCTGAAATAACAGAGATTGACTCACCTCAACCACAATCCTGGCTGGCTCATAGACTGGTCTCTGCAGCCTTGCTCCCCCTCCGCTTCAGCATCCTCACGTCCCATACATTGTATCTGATGTGATGGCTCACAGGAACTTAGATCACTGGAGCAGAGGAGGAAAGAGGCTGCAGTGACCGGTCTAGAAGTCAGCCAGAATCTCAGGTAAATATAGTATATGTTATTTTATCTCCCTGGGCAAAACCAGCACTTAACTCTTGCAGTGTGGGGTAGCATACATGGGGGGGTTTACCTGCCAAAGGCTTTGTATTTCTGTCCATCAAGTCTTGAGATTTACACAGCTCTGCCATACCCAGCCTGGCCTGCAAGGGACCAGATCTTTCTTTGCTCTAGTTTGGCTTACACTTACAGGTCTGCTCCCCACCCCCTGCCCCATGGCAGGACACAGCTCTGCCACACAGCACAGCCTGGCCTGGCATGCGAGGGACCAGATCTATCTTTGCTGCATTTCCATTTACACTTGCAGGTCTCCTCCCCACCTCATGGCAGGACACAGCTCTGCCACACAGCACAGCCCAGCCTGGCAAAGGAGGGACCTGCTCTTTCTTTGCTGCCGTTTCCCTAACACTTACGGGTCTGCTCTGCACTCCCACCCCATTGCAGGACACAGCTCTGCCACACAGCACAGCCCTGCCTGGCAAGGGAGGGACCTGATCTTTTCACGCCCACCCCATTGCAGGACACAGCTCTGCCACACAGCACAGCCCTGCCTGGCAAAGGAGGGACCTGATCTTTTCACGCCCAGCCCATGACAGGACACAGCTCTGCCACACAGCCCAGCCCGGGACTGGCATGCCAGGGACCAGATCTTTGCTGCAGTTTTACTTACACTTACAGGTCTCCTTCCCAACCCCCGCCCCATGGCAGGACAATGAAAGCAGAAGCAGCAGACTGATTAGCTCCTTTCTCATCACTCTGATATTTCCTTCTATCACTATGTTTGTATAACATGCATGTATTATATATAAAAACACATTTATTGATGTATTATTGAACACGGAGCTGCGTTCACGCATCTTTTATATTTGCAGCTTCAACCTCTCCCCATATGTCCGCACCATATGGATATGTTTTGCATATGGCGTTGAGCTCTGTCATGTTACCCTATAGGAGCCCTCTTGTAAATTCTGCTTTCCATGTACGAATCGCTGACATGGCTCGGTTTGGCTTAAGGGAATTAATATTTGACTAAAGATTGCTTTCTGAAAAGATTTGGATTAACAATTATAGCCCAACATAAACAGGAAGGTCCTCCGACGGGGTTCATTAAGTGCACATAAATAAGCCCAACCTGCCGCGTTCCCACCGGTGTGGATGCTGAGAACCAGCAGGTGACCCGCGGCCGCGGTAATCCGATCCTAAGTACATAGTTCTATGTGGCTCAAAGTCAACCGGGTCTCCATTTTATATGTTCCGCTTAAAGGAGAGCTCCGGGAATTCAAAAGACTCCCCCTCGTAGTGGGGCTACCCCTGCACTGTAAGGGTTAAATGCTTGTTTCGGTCTATGGTAGTCACCGCTCCAAACTCACTCCCGGAATGGACTACAATCTCAGTACACATTACTAAACTAATGCGCCGGGCCTGACTAAACATGAGATTGTAGTCCATCCCGGGAGCGAGCTTGGAGCGGTGACTACTTTACCACACACACAGGGACCATGGGGAACGAAAGTAGCCCCCCTCCAGAAGGAAGGCCAATGTCAGCACCAATTCAGAGATGATTTGAGGCTCTACAGCCGAGTGATACACAAATAAGGCACATTTTTGTTAATAAGGATGCATTTGTAAGATTTAACTCCTGAGTTTAGTGTCACTTTAAGTAAATATGTTATAATTATTGCATATTAACATGCTGCAGTTCCCTATCCAGCCAGCAGATGGAGTGCCAGTCTCCTTTTCACATATTCAGCTATTTCAGCCGTGCTAAAGAATCTCTTTGCTTATAGAACTCAATGAGCCAACACAGCGGAGAATCTCCTCTCCCCTGGTGATCAGACTGCAACATTGTAACACTGCAACTTTGTAGTAGTAATAAGATACATTTTTGTCATAGTTAAGGTACTTAAATGCATTTTTAAGACTTTAAGAATAAAAATTATTATAGTCAACAGCTATTTTTTACAATTGTATTTGTATTAGTACTTCCAAGTAGTAAACCCTCTTACGGATCAAACACAACTTTTGGTTTTTAGCCTCTTCCCCCTAAAGTTAATCTGATCTTAATGAAGAAATCGATATACAAACCCCCATATACATCCCTTTACTCTCAGCGTGTCCTCCTATAACATCATACCACGTGGAAATCCTGAGTATCATTGTCCTTCAGTATAATCCCTGAGAAGAGCCTCTGCCTCCGGAGACCCTTCCCTGGAATCCGTGTCCCTCAGCTCCGGACACACAGCCGACAGGCTAAAACTTCGGGTTGAAAAGTTTATCATTTCAGTGTTTTCAGCCCTCAGCAAGTCCCAACTCATCCCAAGCCTCCGAAGACATTTCTGACATTGCTGCCTGACAGTCCGGAGACCAGACAGCCCATCAACGGCTTCACTTGGAGCACCGGACTGCGATATAAGAGCCCCGGGTATTCACTTTATACACTGACATGTTAAAGCTGAACCCCAGGCAGAGCTTAAAGCCAGAATATAATGCAGCTCTGTAATCATTAATACATTATTACATTTATGTTTTTAAATGCAATCAGTGTAAGGACCTAAATTCGACCTGGTATCAGCCTCTTGCAGTCCCTGTGCAGCAGGGCTGGGGTGTGAGGAAGAAGAAGCTGCACAAGGAGCCAATGCTGATAGGAGGACAGAAAAAAGTGACAGAGAGATGACCTCATCAGTCTATTGCTGCTCCATTACTATCCAATCACAGCCCAGGGAGAGGGAGGTGGCCTAGCTGTGTTACTTAACTGCAGCATGGGAAATGAGGTCACCGGACTGGCTGTACTGTCCAGCTGGCCTGTGTAAATTTTAGGACAGCATGGGCAAAAATACAGATGCTTGGGCAGGTAAAACAGATCCCATATGTGTATATAGCTGCTTGCTCGCCCACACAGATCTTTGCTTTGATCAGACCACATATGGTAAGCGTACACGTCCTTATTAAACTTGATGTCATTATAAAGGTCAGAGCGCCGAGGTATAAAAGTGCCCCGGTGAGCCCGTCCCTTCATCTCTAATGCCTTCCTCCTGAAATCGATTTTGTTATTGTTATCAGATGGAGGATAGGCAACGTCAGTTCTCAGCTCTTCCTAGACGGCAATACCAACGCTAAAGGAAATACAAAAAATGTATTCATAAAATGTATTTATTACAGACATTTATAGAGCACCATCAATGTACACAGCGCTATACATAGTGCGCATTCACGTCTGTCCCTGCCCTCAAGGAGCGTACAATCTAAGGTCCCTATCTCACATACAGGGCTGATTTAGAGAAGAGCCAATTTACCTTCGAAGCATGTCTTTGGAGTGTGGGAGGAAACCGCAGTACCCGGAGGAACCCCACACAAGCACAGGGAGGACATGCAAACTCCTTGAAGATAGTGTCCTGACCGGGATATGAACCGGGGACCCTGCAAGGCAGAAGTGCTAACCACTAAGGCACTCTTCCGCAAATTACAGCACAGGTGCACCCAGTTTTTATCCTTCGCATGTTGGGTATCTTTTTATTTGGCATAACCTCATCTTTTATATTTTACAAAAGAAATCGGTACTATATTTTGTTTTTCAGCACTAAAATCTACTTAAAATCGTCCTCCCGTCACCCTAGGCTCAGTATACCGCGAGCTGTAGCTTGCATTATACTGAGACGCCGCAGCTCAATCGGATCCCGACAATTATGCCGGGATACGCCCAGCTGCGTGACTGACAGCTGGCTCTGCCTATCTAGAGGCAGAGCCAGCTGTACCTGCCCCCTACCCCGTCCGTTCCGCCAGTCAGCGCTGGCGGATCGGAGCGGGGAGGGGGGAATCCAGCCCCTCCCCTGTCACGGCAGAGAGCCGTGACAGGATCGAGAGGTGAGCGAACGCCGGTATGTGTTCGCTCACCTCCCGATCTACTGAGCCGACCTGTGACAGTCTCATTGTCACAGGTCGGCTAGAACTATGAGGTGAGTGAAAAGCACTCACCTCATAGTTCTCCTTTAATTAAACCTTCGTCTTTTTTGCATATCTCTACTGTTAGCAATCACTAGATATATGCAAAAACATTTTAAAAAAATGTTACCAAATAGGTAAAAAACGTACCTGTGTCTCTGCCGCTTGTTCCCGTCTGAAGGTCTGAAGATTCTCAGGCGGCCGTGAAGGATCATGGGGCGGGCGCATGCGCAGTAGAGATCTTCAGCCGGGAGAAGAGGATAGACACAGGGTAAGTCAATGCACGCAGCCAAGCAATGTGCACGCGTACAGACACCGTGGGACAGGAAGACGCAGCAGTCAGCGCTGGATCAGAGACCGGCCCCAGCGCTGGAGGGACTCCTGAAAACTACTGGAAAGAAGAAGATGATCGGATCAAGAGGCATCACTTAAGGGAGGTCCTTAAAGAAGCAAGAGGGGGGAATGTCACTTTAGGCATAATTTTTTACTGAAATTTGGGGTTTGACAAAGAGTTGCTCTAATATCATGCAACGTAGAAATTTGCACTTGCCAGCATTTTATTCTACAGGGTTTGTGCTTTCAGGAAATATATAACTCTCAGGGGCTTTAAGTAATTTTCAGGCCTAAAATGTGGAGTATAACTTGTGTGCAATAAAAATGCTGTGCAAGAGAAAGGGTTAAATAGCAGTGAGCACAGTGTGCCCTCTACAGGTGACAGAGTGGTACTGCAGCCCTTATAATAAATGCTTCCCGCCTAGTTTTTTTTTAACCTGGGCACAATTCAGACTGGAAGACGTGCAGCGCTGGGTTTTGGGGAGAACTTTCTTCGAGGGACAGCCCTGTATAGGAGGTGAGTATTGCAGCGCAAGTTTTTTTTTTAATCACTTGGCCTCCATTTTGAAAGGTTGGATTTGTTGGTTTGGTTCACTAAAATGAATCATTTTGTTAATCATTATTTTTCTGTTGTCCACATTTTTATTCTCTGCAGAATATCGCTTCCCCAAGTGTCACATGAGGTCGGAGCCCGGGTCCTACGACTCACGCGTCAGCAACTCGCTTGCCTTTGAGCGCTCGTTGTCCCCCCTGACGGAGCAGGAAGGCGAGGCGTACCTGGAAAGGTGCGGCAGTATTCGGAGGCACACAGTCGCCAATGTTCACACGGACATCCAGTTCCTGGCTATGGCCTCCACCATGCACCCCCGGTCGGAGGAGGCGGAGCTCTCGGACCAGTGTTTGCTCCTTCAGCCCAACTTTACCCAGCGGCAGTTCAGCAGCGAGCCGAACATTGCGGACAGTCCTACGGAGCTGAGCAGCTCTCTGCAAGACGGTTCCGAACACGACAGCCCGTCTCCAAGCTGACCCACAAACCCCCCCACGTCTTGATAACCGGGACACCAATCTCAACAATAACACGCATCTGAAGTGGGGGCCATGAACTGGATTTTAGCAACTGGAATCCCATTTTAAGAGCGTGTCACGGTCTGACACACTGGGTGGTGTAAGCTAAGCCAGGATTGCACTGGGGAGGAACTATGTGTAGTTGTGGATAGAGTGCTGTCGGTGTCTCCATTATGGAGATTTGCCCTCACTTCCTGTCTCAGTAGGCAACCTCTAGCTGTTGTGGAGCTACAAGTCCCATGAGGCATTGCAAGACTTGGACAGCCACAAGCATGGTGGGATTTGTAGTCTCACCATGACTGGAGTGGGAAGGTTGCCTATCCCTGTGTTAGGGCTTTATTTATAAAAGGCACGGCCCCTAGATGGCGCTGATGAGTAAAGGAATTTCTTATAGCCATGAGCACCATCCAGGGCTGCCAATGCCGTGTGAATGGCATCCGCCCAGAATATGAACCTTGATGTGCAGCTACTGAAAAAATAAACCACACTCTATGCCAGGCGTGGGCAATCTCGGCACTCCAGCTGTGGTGAGACTACACAACCCATCATATCTATACCTCTGGGATTCATGCCTGGGGTTATCACAGCCTTGCAATGCATTATGGGACTTGCAGTCCAACAACCGCTGAAGTGCCAAGGTTGTCTACCCCTGGTCTATGCAAAACCTACATCACATTGGTACTTGGCTCCTGCGTGGACACTTCGAGGGTCAGTCGACCCAAAACTCATATTTAGTGTTCCATGTCTTCTTCCTGCTTCTGTCTTACGATGGCCCTACACACCGGGGTCTGGTGGCAACGACTACCAGTTACCAGGAATGACCGAATGACAGGAGGCCGCCTCCCATCAAATGTATTGTTATCATTGTGAACTGTTGGTGGGTTGAGCGTTCTTCAGCGTTCTGTAAACAAAATCTGATTGAAGTTGGCACACAATTGTGTCGTGTATGGACGCGATTGGGGACCCCACTGGCAAGACCTCTTCCTCTGAGTTCCCGTCTCTTATCAAAGGATCTCACTCCTGCATTTGGATTATTAATACCGCAGGGGAGGTGAGACTCCTTTGGTTGGCTGTACACAAAATGGGGCCACAAACTCCAGTGGGAAACTGACTGCAGTAGTCACCATGTGGGTCCATTCAGTTCTGTGGGTTGTGCCCAGGGGCGCCCCCATAATGGGGCAGCCTGAATGAGGAACGGCCCTGTATGGCATTGCGGTGCCATACGTTTTGAATAGCGCCCCAATGTACCCAACCAATGCACCACAACACATATCTTTTAGCATACCGCAGTGCGCAGATGTGCAGGTGCCATTTTTTTGTGTGTTGACAATATATGATGGCCAATTTAAAGTCAATAAGCTGCAGAAACACTTGCGCGCATTACTGTCACACATAGGGGTGTATTTATTAACAATTCACAGAGCCATTCACCCTGCAAAATTGCATGCACATTCATTCTGTGTGAATAGGGGCAAAAATGAATGTTATTCACATTTTTTTTCAAGGTTACTGTATTTTTCCGTCTATAAGACGCCCCCATGTATAGGACGCCCCCCACTTTTCTTACCCAACATTCACAAATAAATATTTCCCATGCTCTTCTGCATAACTGATTTCATCCAGTTTAAATTTTGCAGAGTAAGACAGCTGCTTACTGGGACCGGTATTTTTTTTGTTTTCTGACATTTTTATGGGCTTCCTGTTGCATCTGGGGCACTGGCTACACGCTCTCCGCAGCATCGGCTGACGTCAGGTACATAAGGCTCATGATTGGAGGAAACCTGTTAGCTTGTCTCTGCAATCGGAAGTTTCACTCGTAAGTCTAGTTTGCAGAGGTATCGGCAGTTTCGCAACCGCAGTTCTCCTCTCGGCCCCCCGTGTCTAAGACGCCCCTCCATTTTTAGGTAAATATTTTAAAGAAAAAGTATAGTCTTATACATGGAAAAATACAGTAAATGTAATATCAGGTAAATACCACATTATGGCCACTAGATGGAGCTGAGGAGCAGAGAAAAAATGAATATTTCTTATGCTCAACTCCATCAAGTGGCCACAATGTGGTACATACAATGCTGTTTTAACACCTCTCTCTGGGCAGGTTATTAACACCTTCTAGCTCCAATTATGCAAATGCGATCAACACCTGGTTGCGACTAACAGATTATGTGGATTGGAGCAACATTCACCATATTTATTCCCAGATAATGTTTGTACAAGTCATTCTGAATTGCGAAAGCTGGTTGGATGACCAGTGAAACGTCTTCAAGAAAAATGCAGCAAGTCCAGTTGCCTTGACTTATTTTCTAACCGATATACCATGACCTGGATGAATGAGAACCTTTGCAGACATATATGGAATACATTAATTTTTGCCTTCATTCCATACAATTTTGTAATGTAATACAATATTATGGCCACTAGATGGAGCTGATGAGCATAGAAAAAAAAAATACATTTCTTATGGTCTTCAGCTCCATCTAGTGGCCATAATGTGGTAGTTAGCTGATAGTACTTTCGAACTGGAAAGAAAGTATCCTGATAACATTCATTTTTGCCTCCATTCCAACGCCTCTGTAAATTGTTTATCAATACACCCCATAGTGTGAATGGGCCCCCTAGTGATATAGGAATTCTGGAGGATGACTGAGCAGGACCAGAACCCAACCATATATCAAATACCCGTTTTGGCTGCAGCCACCTTAATGTAATCAGGTACATTTTTACGTTTTTTTTTTAACCCGCAACTCTTACATAGTTACATAGTATTTGAGGTTGAATAAAGACACGGGTCCATCAAGTTCAAACTCTGCTTGAAGAATTGAACGGAGGAGCAGAGACAACCCCCATGGATATAGGACAGCGGGAGCACTATACGTCAGGATTTAAAGACCGGTCCAGTGTACAATGTTTACAAGTCGGGTGGAGCACAAATTCCAAAGGACGACTATTCAAAGAACTATAAGAGCTATATTAGATATTCAGAAATGTGTACAGTCCAGAAAGCATTTTATTTCGTCGTGTGAATTGAAAACGACAATCCAATGCATTTCAGGGGCATCAAAGGGCCCCTCCTTCATCAGGGCTTTGTGAGCTTGTTAATATGCGGGGTGCTGGACTCAGTGAAGGAAACGCATCCAATATTCGGATTGTACTGGTTTGCTCGGCACGGTTCTCACAATGCAAATAATATAATGGAAACACAAACATTTTGTGATGTGACCGAATGTGTTGTGCTAAGGGGTCCTCATGGGAGGGCTCTCTGTCACTGCCCCGCCTCCTGATTGATCTTTAGTCACAGGATATCAATGCATTAATGACACTCACCTTGGGCTTGTTCCCTCCTGTGAACCAACACCCCCAACTGGACCTAAGTTCATCTTTTACAGTAGATGTAGGAACTGAAGTGCCACACCGATTCAAACAGTCCAGATACAACTTTATTCCATTAGGGTCATGGGACATTCTAGAAGAGTAGCCAATGCGTTTCTGGGGTCCTATACACATTCCGTTCATCAGGGGTGCCATACCAGCTGCAGACAAGCCTGAAGTACTCCCATCACAACTCAATACAACTTTCAAGCTGTAGAGATTGTAGCGCACTTACGTGACTTCTCTCAATAAGCCCTGATGAAGGGTGTGTGTCTTGGACCCCCGAAACGCGTTGGAGGCTCTACTTGAATGTCCCCCTGACAATAATGGAATAAAGTGGTTTCTGGATTATTGTAATTGTGTGGTGCTTCAGTTCCTACATCTGTGCTCACTGTCGAGCCAAGGAATTTAATTTTGCAGAGACTAACAGCAACCCCCCTCCGTCCCAGCTGACAGCTTGGCCCCCTTCTCCAGGCGAAAAAGGTAGGGCTGGCCCCGGGCATTGTGAAGAATACCTCCTGCATCTCAATTGCCCTAGAACTGAGCAGCGTCCAGGTCTATGTCTAACCCACATGTAGTATAATTGGGTCCCTAAGTCCCGAAGGGCCCTTGTGCAGCTGTACAGCTTGCACGAATAGTAAGTCTGCCCCAAAGCCCGCCCCTGAGAAACCTGTACCCACCTTTGCCACTCTCCCCCGCTGTCCCAATAGAGTCCTTTGGAAATACCTGGAGCTTCTTGATATAGGAGAGCATGTGACCTCCTCCTAGGATGCAGGGTTTGGGTCTGAAATGAAGTGTAATTCACAGGCCTGACTGTTGTCACCTGAGTCAGAGGACCAATACTACGTAAGCTCTGACTCCTCTGGGGTGGAGCTAGCACAGGGGTTGGGCTTCAGGCTCCAGCAGACAGTAAAGGTGACTATATATGGGTCAGAGGGGCACTGAATGGGTAAAGTCTCTATAAACATTTGCTGATCACCGAAGCCCAGTGATGGGCCCTTTGACATCCCTCTGTGTACTGCGCTCTTGCACAAGGCGGTGCTACTTTGCAGACGAAGCTTGAAACGATGGTTTGACGTGTGTGTGTGCGGGGGGGGGAGTGATTTGAGCTGGAAGAGCGAATAAATTGTATTTATTTGAAGTCAGCCTATGGTCTGTTTTTGTCTGTGGTAGAGGCAGAGATGGGGCCCTCGAGCCTGCCGCCCCCCATGGGGTCCCTAATACTATTTAAAGGCCGTCTTACATATTTGCAGTTTCCTCCTCTCGTGGTGATTAGTTGATTGGGGTTTGCATGCATATAGGAACGGAGCCTACAAACACATTTCCCCACATATTTTCTTCCCTATAAAAACACTAAAAGTACAGTAAAGGCGTCGCGCCGGTCATCTTCTTTCTCTGTCACTCTGCTCTCTCCCCCTATCAGCATACTCCTTGCACTGCAGCACAGCTGATTGGCTCCACATACTGTTTCTTCCTGGGATTACAAGGGGCTGACAACAAGTCTAATTCATGTATTTACACTGCCCACATAAAAAAAAAATGCATTTGATGATGTTAAATACATTAGGGATGCACCGATACTAGTATGGGTA